CCACGATTTGGAGGAGTTGGCTCCATCCTTGTAACTGTCCTGCAGGTAGTTTTAGGCAGTTTGTAGATCATGTTATAGCCGGCTCTTCCTCAGACTTCCCCCTTTTCTCCAGAGGACATGCTCTTGGCCCCCAAGTACTTTGGCAGCCCTCTGCTGGACTTCCTCCAGGTTTTCAACATCCTTGATGACCAAGAGGCCCTAAACTGGACAGGAGAAATCCATATGTTTCCTCAGCAGYCTCACACAGAGGCGAGTAAGAGCTTCCCTTGCTTAGCTGGCCCCATGCTGCCTGATGTAGCTTAGTATGGGATCTGCCTTATGTGCAGGGAGAAGGCTCTGTTGGCCAACGTTCAACTTGGCATTCACTGCAAGCCCTATCCTTTTCAGCAGGGCTGCTCTTCAGTCTGTTGGTTCCTAGCCTCTTGGACACTCATTATTTTATATAATAGAGTGTAAATTGTTCAGCAGTCAAGGGCCTATAGYTTGTGTATTTTGCCTGTTCTGACAGCTCTCAGAGAAAACTGTGATAGAGCAACTAAAAACTACTAGAATACTTACACATCAGAACACATAATAATGTTTTTGCCTTCCAGGCCTGAGACATTATTTCCTTTTAAAAAGAAAGGAAATATCTCCTTCACAGAGCAGGGGACATTGAGCACTCYGTAGGCTTCTGGCATTTGAGTGGAACAGCTCAGTCTGATACGTGGTTGCAGGCAAAGCTGCCTTCTCTGACAGAGGTAAAATGAGCTGTCATCCAGGGCGCACAGGACAGTCTGAGGAGCCTGCCCAGCTCAATGTTCTTTTCATCACCCTGGTTTGAGAGTTGAGAAAAAAAAAATCTCTGGTTCCCTCTGATTCCCCCTGAGATACGGAAGAATGTGGAGGCCGTATGCTGGAAGCAGGAGATGTTTCCAAAAGATGAAGTTTCTCTGGCAACCCCTGTACATTCTTGGGACAGGGGCTGCTACCATTACTTCAGCAGCAGTGTTGGCTAAGTGTTAGCCTGGGATATTTATGCTCCTCCACTACTTGGCTGACTGCCTCTGTGTGTGTGAGTATGTTTTAAGCAACATCCACAAAAGGGAAATAGAAACTTCCAACAGTTTCTCTTGGCAAATTCTGTTGTAGAAAATTGAGTTGATAGAAATTTTCAGGAATAAACTTTCTGTGCATTATCCAGCAAGCACTAAGCACAAGCATCGTTCTGGGGTTGCCCAATAGAGCAGTGAAAAGGAAACTACTGAGAGCAAGCAAGGGGTGGTGAGGGAAGGGCAGGAGCAAATGGCTTCCTCCTTGGCGGCGGTTGTATCTTACAGGCTCATGTGGATCCAACCAGCAACGACTAGGAGCTGGAAGGCATTTCTGTTGGGTCAGTAACTGGGCTCCTCTGAGCATGGTCTCAGATGTACTGCCATGCCAGGACTATACACTTCAACTGAAGGCTGTGGTTTGTTTGCATGACGCAGACTCATGGTCCTCGGAGAGTGAACATTCCTGAGAGGGAGGGCAGGAGGGAGGGAGGGGCTGTGCACATGCCTCCTTTCCCCTGCTTCCTTAGGGCTGCTGTTCTGTGGGGAAGGCTGGAGAGTTGTGCACTAGGTGTGCAGGTGAAGAAGCGCTCTGTGACCCACACAGCTCYGCTGTCACAAGGCAGCGTGGTCTCCTCAAGGGCCAGACAGAGCAATAGAGAAGCAGATGGAGCAAATCACCTCATCTTTGTTATGGACAAGGTGCCTACCRCCTCCAAAACGCACAATTCCCTTTTCCTTCTACCTAAGGGAGTTTGGAGAAAAAACTGCTGCATAATCAAATGCTTTAGGTGAAGCACTTCAAATCTTACACCTTCCCACCCACTGTTGTGTCTTCAAGTGTAGTTTGTCTCCAGTGGAAGGATGTATAAAATGCACAGTGGATTTCTCACTGAGATGACCATCTTTTTGCTATCTGTAGCACAGAGATGCCTGTGGGAAAGGTCYATAGGGGAACTGTGGGGTTTGGGAAGAAAGGGCTGAGTCTTTTTGAAGTATGTGTTTGAGCAGGGCATAAGTGAAGAAGATYGCCTTTAGCTACCGTCAGAGCTAAGAGGGAGAGCAAAAAATGTTCTGTCCTGGCAACCCAGTGTTGCTTCAGGATGACCCTTGAGGGCTTTCAATGGTGGATGAGAATCTTTTAAGCAAAGTATGTTATAATCACTGGTAATTCAAGATTACTTTGGCCTCTCTGAAAAGAGTACATGCTCCRTTTTGAGGACAGGCTGCTGGAACATTTTTTACCATTTGTGATACCTGCCCAGTAGTAAACTGGTTACTTGCTCCACATCTTCAGCAGTGTTGCTACCTGATCATTTCCTGACTGAGCGGGGATGTTAGTTGCTCCTTAACGGCTTACCTAACCTACCCCGGGTATTTTGTTGGCTGGGACTGTGAGCCCCTGACTGTGACTTTGCTCAGAACAAGGGACTGCGAGTTAGGCCAGTCTAACGTCAGGCCCTGACACGGCTGCTGCCTCTGCGCGGGTGGGTCGGGAGGAGAGCTGCAGTGCTGGGACAGGAGGCCAAGGTGCCGCTCACAGCCATGGCGAGGGCGCAGAGCTCCTCGCCCGGACGGTGTAAGGCACTGGCATTGGCCAGACCGCGCTTGGGCCTGCACATTTCCTCACAGAAACAGCTGAGGGGGGTTCAGGCTCCAGTGCCTTGAGCCACAGTAACCAAAAGAACAACCAACTGTCCTTCATTAGTCATCACCAAGCTCTAAACACATTGATATGAATAATAATGATATCAATGAGGTAAATGAATGACATAAAGCCCTTGATAAGAAAGACACAAGTATGGAAATTAAGGCTATGAAACTGGGGTAAATCTTTCACTCAAGAGCTCATTACAGTGGCATTCAGGTTCACATAAAACTTGTTACCGGGGCTGCCTCCACTASAAGTAACAAATGTTCCTCCCTCTCACCAGCCACACTCATTTTCTCAACCTAAGGTAAGTTGTCAATGACAGGGAGCAGGTCACCTTCCCTCGGCAGCTGGGCAGGGCTTGGGGTGGGGGGCACGCAGGCCAACACAGTCTCCCCACAATCTCTGCCTGGGGTGGGACACCAAGCATGAGCTCCAGGTGGCAGCTGTAATTGCCCCTGTTGTCAACTTAAATTCTTGGGTTGTGGGCCTGTCCCAACTGCACCTGACTGGAAGTGTTAACTTTGCTTTAGTAAAAAGGTACCGAAGAGCCCAGATGATCTAATCACCAAGATCTCCATTGACAGGATTGGTAATTAACCTGATTGCCACATTCTTGCCCGTTGCCCTAACGGTGACATATTTCCCCCCMAAAAAATGCTCGGAAGTCACGTGCTGGTCCACCACAGGGAGCCATAGGCACACGCCTGCTGGAGCCCAGCTGGTGAGCACCTTTCCAAGGAATGTTGCTGCTGCTGGGAATGGTGAGAGTACCGTGATGGAGGAGCAGATGGGGCCATAGAGCCACTTGCTCGTTTTGGTGATGTTTCCAAGCACTTTAAAGTAGGTAAGATTTTAATTACTTCACAGTTAAGTGTGCCTGCTGGTCACTGCGTAGTGACCACAGAAATAAACGTGCAATAAAAATGACTTTTTTTTTTTTTTTTTTTTTTGTTGTCTCTTAAAGTTTGTTCTTTTTTAAGGCTTGTTCAGAGCACGGAAAAAAAATATTCAAAATTACTAGTAAGTAATGACACTTGCATGTTTGTCCTGGCATTCAGACTGCTCCCATGTTCTCTTCTTTCTCCTTTTTGTGCTACCATTCAGTTCATTTTCACATTTTACATTTGGCACTAGATGTYAGATCAGCTATCTAAGCAACACAGATGTAGCTAGAATTTGGCAATTATTTGCCCAAATAGCCGTTAGTGTAGTAGAATTGTCACTGAGCTAATATCCTTAAATATAATGGCTTAAATCAGCAGCGGATTAACACTGGACGGAATGTTTCCCTCAGATTTTCCTCATTTCCACGTTTCATGACACTTCTGCTTTTTCTGGTGCTCATTACAGTTATTTGTGCCGAAGGATCCCTTCGTGTGCCTGCTCTTTCCTAGGAGTACAGCCAACTCCCTTCTCAGCAACTGTGGTTTGCCAAAGAGCAAATTTTCACCTGGCTGCCTTTATTTCCCACAGCTCCCTGTTAACTCTGACTGCTTGGCTGAAAGACCTCCCCTGCTTGGGCTGCAGGTCCTCTTCTTAGGTCACACAGGAAAGAACTCAACCAGGTACTAAAACAGGGACTAGCTACGTACRTGTTCACGGCCCACTCGGTTTCTCACTGCAACTCCGCAGCCCTTGGAGGGAATTCCTCCTACCCAGGCAAGGAGGAGCCTCTCTCCCTGCCCCACACAAACCTCTGAAAATGCTTCCTCTTCTGAGGTAACCTGAGCTATGAGTTAACCGCTGCATTTCAGATTTGCCCGTGAGGAAAGAAAAAAGCTCATCGTATTAACTCAAGTTCTCCAGAGGCTTTTACTTAAGTCTGTTGAACCAAAATTTCTCCACAAAGATCTATCATTATCACGCTTCCTGTAGAAGAAACAGGAAGAAGAGAAAACAGAAGGAAGTAAAGAATACATGGTTGTTTTCTTCTTGTGAGAGTCTATTTCACAGAGTAAAGTTTAATTATCTTTGGGTAAGCAGCGTGTTTGTTCAGCACTCACAAGTCTACTTGCAAATTAAAGGCTGCAGTGCAATGGTGGTGCTTACGCTTGGACTCCAAACCTCCCCGCTCCGACCTGAGACACCAACAGACCACAGTGTCTCTCAGATTAAACACASGGTTGAGAGAAAGGACTGACTTCGCTCAGTGAACAGCTTTAGACAAAAAGTTGCTTACAGCATAATGTTGAAATCCAACTGAAGTACTTCAGTGAAAATAATAAACACCCTGTCTCACTGCTGTGGACAGAAGAGCACCAGCTAAGGAACACTATGTCATCACTCATCTTTTTGCTGATAGACAATGAGATAACACAGTATTTCCAAACTGGAGAATGTTTCCTTGAATTTATAAAGCAGTATTTCTTTTAAATAAAGACTTATAGCAAATGATGCAAGTAGCACACTTTTTTTTTAAACTGGTAATTACCATTCATTAATGATGTAAATAAGTGTATCAGCATTATTTTACAAGTAAACAGCTGACAGTAACGTAATGTTCAGAAGAACACGGTTTAAAATAAATAAATCATGAGTTACATAAATTGCTTAGACTCCTCGTGAAGTGCAAGTGCTTTATTCTTAGTTTCACACCAAGAGAATAATGATGTTTTTTCAATTTCACAGTGTACATAAGATGTGTAGAGTTGCTCACTACACTGCAGTTGAAATTTTAAGACTACTGATGCTACCCATTTTGCACAAGCAAAGCATTCATCGACTGTTTAAATGTTCCTGTTTTAAAAACAGCACAGTGAATGGTAGCACTGAAGGACACATTTACTCAAAGCACAGCTGATGAAAGTTTTACTTTTATTTAAATGAGGTGTAGTTGCAACTTTGCTAAAATGCACCATTCCATTTATAATAAAAAATGAAGTAGTCCAAAAGCACTGTTATTAATCCTTTGAGAGCTTGCAACGAAACAGATCAGTTCCCAAATGTTTAACAGACCAAAACCAAGGAGGCCATTCCTAACTATATGTACATAGTCATATATACATACACGAAACAAAGGCAGGCTTGTATACTGATGGCACGGAGTCATTATGAGTTTCTTACTTGAATTTGCTAGGAAAAACAGCATGATTTATCAGACTTGGTCACCTCCCACGTTCACAGAAGACTGTCCTTTTTGGACCACCTTCCCCCAGAGCTGCGCTAGACCACAGACCCCTCCATAGCCGACTATGAATTGCTTCTTTCATCACCAGTTTGTTTTCTCTCTGGATCCAGAGAACTGCCTTCAAATAAAAGTTTGTTTTTCATTCCTTCTCTAATCATTCTTTGCCGGATCCTGTGTTGGGCATAATTGTACCTGCAATAAAACCTAGGGAAGAGAGGAAAAGAAAATATGATTCCCTGCTTCATATTAATGACAATATGAAATAAAGCGTTATTCAGTCAGACGAAAAGTTGAAACCATGCACAGTAATGTGAATAAAATTATGAAATAATGCAGCAGGTAACTGCAGCTTCTCTGAGACAAAGATTATGCACTACATAGGAGGCTGCCACATGTCCAGTGAAAAATTCTCATTTTTGTAATCTGAATCTTAATCTCATGAACAYCGAACATGTTGCCTTTATAAGGAGGATGAAAGGATTGCGCATATGAAGAAAAGAATTATATGAAAGATAAAAAAACCAAAAAGGAATGAACAACTGGTTTGTTTTATCTCTTAGGATTCAAGAAAAATATATCAATTTTTTTGAAATAGAGTATTTACATAAAAAGTCAAGGTCACTGAAAGTATTGTGGCAGAGAAGGGAGAGGACACTTTGCTAGACGAGTCTTTTATGGCTTCCAGGAACAGTGCAGAAGGTCAAAAGCGGATCATGTGGTAGAAAGCTGCCAACACAGGCCCTGCCATAATTCAGGAAACATTTTACATACCAGTATCCTAACATTGTGCAAATGAAGCCACCAACTGCAAAGTCACAGGATCTTCTAACTCTACCTGAAAGAAAAAAAAAAAAAAAATCCAAAAAATCACAGAACGAAACTCAGGTGACTTGGGCTCCCACTGGTTCCCACTGTTAGAATAAATACCAAACAGCAARCAGGAACAAATTCCTCCTTAAAAATAAATATGGAAAAGAAAGAATGACTTACTGGTTGCTACAAAATGTCCAAGACCTACAACAAAAGATCCCACTGAGCCATAGAGGATAGATTCTCGTGCACAGGGGACGTTTTTAATATCGAGGAACCCTAGGAGTTTGAAGGGCTGTAAAAAAAAAAWATATAATTACAAAACATTTATGACTTAGCTTAAAATACACAAGCTTGCACACCTTGCATTCCCTTTTCTAGCATTTTAGCAAAACAATAAAAGGGTTAACTTCTGAGTTATTATATATGTTAACCTCATTTCTGATCTGCCTTCTTTGTCACTTTACTAATTTCAGCTGCATTTAACCTGCATAGATAGAGCACAGCCATATGAAACCAATGCTGATTCAAACCTATCTGATTACATAAATTCAGGAATTACTCTTTTAGAAGTCTATGATGCCAACTTCAGTGTTAAACTGACCAGTACTCTTAGTAGTTAAAAATAAAATACTCCAGGCTTTCCTATTTCTGAGGTCATATTAGAACCAAAGATTGCCATACACAGCAAACATGGGCTATGTCAAGAATGGTTTCAAAGGAATTAACAATTAATTTATGTGTACCATTTTATATAAACCTGGATATCCATCCTCTATTTAAGATTATAAAATAATTACTTCCTCTCTTCCTTTACATTTCCAAAATTAGGACAGGAAAAAAACCCCTTAGGAGTCYAATATCTTTGTTTAAAACAACATGTGTCACAACAAACAGGTAAAGTTCATTGCGCAGTTGYTTTTTTTTAAATTGGTGATTTTTCAGCTAGTCCTATGCACAGGCTAAAACTTTGCAGAGAAATTCATCCACACACAATACTTGTTTTTAATGTAAACCTACTAGTAAAAGTTACTCRATTATTTGATACTCTGCTCCGGCTGACAATTTTTTTTTTCTTTTTGATGATTGTTTCAGGGGTGAGTGTGCTGGCTTTACTGCAAGGTAGGGCTTCTATCCCCAGTGCAACTCATCCCCGGCACACTGGCTTACGGAAAGGTGCTGGCTCCACAGGCAGGAACGGGAAGCCACAGATCAAAGGCTTCAAGAGGACACATGTTGGGAGTCAAGGTGGCTGCGTGGGAATGACGTTGCACTTCCTTCTGCAAGTGACTCTTTTGTCAGCAATAGTGTGAGAACTGTCTCCATCTGTTTTCTTGGGATCCYGTTGTGTTTAGGTCCTTAAGACCATCATATACCACATGTGCAAACACATCCACTACAACCTATAACGATTTTTAAGTAGTTGTAATTTTTCTGCAAAGGTTTTGTATAAGTAAAAAGACGCCGTTCTAGCCCAAAAGCTGCAGTAAAGCAAATGTGAGGAAGAGTAGGCAACTCTGGGAGACAAATCCTTGCGATGTATGCCCGCCTGGCCTTAGCGATGGCGAGCACTTTGCAAAGCTGGACTTGAATGCAAGCATGGAAGATCCCTATCAGTTAYTGTATCTATGCTCCCTCTGAACAACCATCAGCTCTTTCAACATCTTTGTGCAAACATGACAAATACACATGTATGTATATATATTTAGTCTATAGTGGTCTAATCTCATCAATAATTTCAAATGCATTTATTTGGAAGAAGTCACCGGAGCTGTTGCTGGCTCAGGCATGCTGCACGACGCCTGCTTTTAACACAGCCYTTCACCTGCTGCTCTAGTGGAAATCGCTTGTTACAGCTCTGCCTTACCGGGGTTACAAGGGCTGCAGGGCCACCACAGTGTTTCTCCCCCAAAGAAAAAGCCCTCTACAAGCGTCTGMGGAAGAAGAGATAACGAAGGGCCCTAACTAGCTGTACGGAGCCGTATCTCTTSTCACTTAAGGGGAACGAGGTATTTTTCACCTCTTATTTCGTGTTTATCCCCCCAGGAACGGGGAAGCCTTTCCAGGGTTTCAGACATGGGCGCGTGCATGTACGAGGGCGCGGGCGGACCCCGCCGCGCCCTGTGCGGTCGGCACGGCTCGGCAGGAGCGGCAGCCGCAGCGCCAACGGCCGCCGGCCGCTGACGAGGCGCGGCGGGCGGG